CACTAGGTATTAACCACTGCTGAGTTGGCTGCATACCATCCTGTAACAAGCTGATGTAGCTGAGAGTGTGGTCTCATATCAGTGGGAACGTACCTGGACAGGCAATAAAAAAAAAGCTGGATATCTTGGGAAAGCCACAAGGAGAGTTATGAAAAGGGAAGGTGGGTTCTTGGACTACAGCCATATGAGTAAAGAAAATAGCTTGGAATCTGCAATTTAGAATTATAGAATCATTTAGGTTGGAAAAGACCTTTAAGATCCCAAGTACAAGTACAGGTTGGGTAGAGAATGGATTGAGAACAGCCTGAGAAGCAGGAACAGCCTGGGGGTGCTAGATGAGGAGCTCAACATGAGCCGGCAACGTGTGCTGGCAGCCCAGAAAGCCAACCGTATCCTGGGCTGCATCCAAAGCAGCGTGGGCAGCAGGTCGAGGGAGGGGATTCTGTCCCTTACTTTGCTCTAGTGACACCCCACCTGGAATACTGCGTTCAGCTCTGGGGTCCCCAGCATAAGGAGGACATGGAGCTGTTGAAGCAGGTCCAGAGGAGGGCCACGAAGATGATGCGAGGGCTGGATCCGCTCTCCTCTGAAAACAGGCTGAAGGAGTTGGGGCTGTTCAGCCTGGAGAAGAGAAGGCTCTGGGGAGACCTTCGAGCAGCCTTCCAGTACCTAAAGGTGTTACAAGAAAGCTGGAGAGGGACTTTTTACAATGGTTTGGAGTGACAGGACAAGGGGCAATGGCCCGCTTTTAAACTGAAAGGGGGGGATTTCGATTAGATATAAGGAAGAAATGTTTTTTACAATGAGGGTGGTGAAGCACTGGAACAGGTTGCCCAGAGAACTTGTGGCTGCCCCATTGCTGGAAGTGTTCAAGGCCAGGTTGGATGAGGCTTTGAGCAGCCTGGTGTAGTGGAGGGTGTCCCTGCCCATGGCAGAGGAGTTGGAACTAGGTGATCTTTAAGGTTTCTTCTGACTCAAACCGTTCTATGATTCTACGATCATCAAGTCCAACTGTATTTGCCCAGGGACTATTGTGTCAATGTAAGGAAGTTCTCTCCCTACACCAAAAAGAAGGTGGCCTGATCTACACTGTCTACTGGGAGCAGACTTGCTATCACCCAAATAGGAAAAATTGCACCAAGAAGCAGCAGTTGGGTGATCCCAGGCAGTGCTGAAGAAGACATCCTGACCCTGCCTTGTTAACTAATACAGGCACAGCCTTGCATTTTACAGAGAAACCTTGGCAAAACCACATCAGTTCTTCCCTTCTCAGATGTCTGCTCTGAAAAATAAAAATGTCATCGTCTTTCCTCAGTGCAGCATTTGGCACTCTGGAAATGAAAATCATTATTTGAAAAGCAAGGGTCAGGTCCATCAAGGTATTCAGGGGTCTTGGGCTTAAGGTGACATATAAAAGCACTTGGCTTGTTCAGATTTTGTAAAATCCATTTGTCTCTTTGCTCTCTTAGGAGCTACAAATACCCCCATAAATCTGGCCTGCAATACTGCTAGCTGGCCAAATCCTGTTTCCATCCAAGTCATAAGCTGCTCAATTTCATTAACCTTACAGAAAAAGTACATTTCCTATGTGTCCCCATTCTCCAAATCACTCATTTCTCAGAGCCTTCTCCACACATCATCTTCCTGACCTTCTTTCTGAGCCCTCTCCCATCCTCACTTGCACTTAGAGGTGCTGCTGTCAGCCCAATAAATAGCTTAAACTCATTTGCTGAATCAGATCAAAGACATCATTACATATGCTGTGGTTTATTTCTGAGCTTTCCTTGAACCCTGTCCCCTTTCAAAGCTCAGTCTTCGCTTTTCCTCCTCCTCATGGTCACGTTAAAAATGAATGAGTAGCCACAAACTCCCTCCAGTGATTGCCACTTCTGAGAAGAAAGGGCAACGTCACACCATACCCTAGGCTGGAGCTGATGAGGAGAAAGAAGCCAAAAAAACAGCATGAAAAGTAGGGCCACTAGCTGACACGAGTCTTCTGAGCTGTTCAGACTTGTTGCTGCCTGCAGCGGGCTTTTTCAATCTAATGTGGAGGCAAAATTAATTTTTAATACGCATAGCTCCCAGGTCCCAGTCCCAAAACAAAGAGACATTGTGTTTTATTTAGCTTGGAATGTGCCTCATTAACAGCATCCCCTGGTGATTTTTCATCAACTCTCTAAGCTATCTGAACCACCCAACAACTCTTCAGCTTTAATGTGCAATTTACTGAAAACTGGGTTTTCTTGCTTGATACTCAAAGTTAGCACAGAGGTGGGACGTGACTTCCAAACACATCAGGCCTCATCCCGAAGCACACAGCCATGGTTAAGGATTCTGCTCTGCAGGAGATCCTGACCCCATTGTCATTAACTGGTCTAATACCACCATACCCCACCACAACCTCCTGAGACAATGTGCTTTGACATTGAGAGCCAAAGGGAAAATACTGGTCTGGGAGGAAGTACTGAGCTCTCAAAATAACTGAGCAACAGATATGAAATCACAACTGAGATCTGAGCTTTACAAGTCTTGTTCATCTTAAAGTGTGGAGATCTGTCCTAGACCTAGAGAGATGTCCTTTCCTGGAACCAGCTGTACCCATGGGAGGTGTTCTTGCCTATGGTTATGTGACAGTGTAGACTGTTAAGCGGCCACCCTTCAGCTTGGAGGGTAACACCAGAAGAAGCAACATAGGGTCTTTTGACACAATAGGGTCTTCTGGCTCTGTGGCTTAAGTGCAGAGACAGATCAACCTGGACTCAGATTTTTGATTCAGAAAGACCTCTTAGGTCACCTAGTCTATCCAGCGCCAGAATGATGAGTACCTCAATGCACCTAGTTTTAAGGAACAGAAGGAACATCCTAACTTCTCGTCCTGACATGCAAACAGACATACAGTATGAGATAATATCTCAACATATTCCCTGTGATACTATGCCTGAAGTCTGACACCTTTCAATGCCTTGAATTCTTTATCATCACTTCTATCCTTGCTTGGTGGTTACCTTGAAAGTATAGTTTTCTTTCTCCACCTCAGTCAGGTTGTTAATCTCATGTCCTTTAAAGATCACCTCCACGTAATACAAACCCTCCTGCGGTGAAGGCCTAGGTGGAAGAAAATGTGTTATATTATGTTTATACAGATTAGGTTTATTTTTTAGGAAATGCCAGGTTCTTCACAGGATCTCCATTCTTAGCAGGTCTGCTGAGGCTTCAACAGAGCAAAGAAAGTTTACACTGTGAACCCAAACTTTACACATATGAACCCAAACTCTAAAACTACAATTTAAAAGAAATATAGAGGTACAGCAAGAAATTACAGTTAAGTGCAGAAGGTGACAGGACTATATCAGAACCCTATCTAAATTGTTCATTAATGCAAAACACAGACATGCTCATTAGATGTGCTCAGACAACAATTGTTATTCATGAGTATTAAAATAACCCAGGGCTGCCTGGATCTACAAGGCATCTTGATCATGGTTTGCAAATTAACGCTGCATCCTTACCACACACAGTTTGTCAGCACAGCATTCAGAAGAATTAAGTCCCAGCCAACTCATAGCAGCAAGAGATGGAAGAGCCCTATTAGGGTCACTCTTACAGCCTCGAGACACCCCTGGTCTTCTAGTCAAACAGTCTTCTTGAAAGTTATGACAGGACAGAAAACAGTGAGCTTAGATTGCCCAGGTGGTGCTTGAAACTGTGTTTGTTTTCTGGTCTACTCAACCTCTCTGTATGATCTTGCACAGATCAAGGACACCAAAAGCTGGTAAAATCCCCTGCAAGATTTTCTTGGGGAGTTTTGCATCTAAGAAATAGATGTCTACAAACCTTTGAAGATCTGAGTTTAGCCTCTCCAAGAAGCTTCACTCTGACCCTCATGCTAGGTAGCCTAGTGCTTCATTAAGTTGAAACAAGAATAAATGCAACACATCTTAGGAGGTGCTCAGATGCAGTCACAGGAATTCCTTCAACTTCCAAACTACCCGTACAGACACTGAAAGAAAAGGAGGATCTTACCAGACAAACAGCAAGGTCTTGCCCACACCATAGTCATGGATCATACCTTGTTCTGCATCTTATAGTGTGTAAGTCAAAATACAGAGGAGAGACATCACATGGCAACCTGGGCAGCTCTGGATTCACCAGGGACACCTCCAGCTGTAACACGCTGGCTGAAGAGACAGGTTCTAGCTGGTGAGATGTTGAGCCTAAATAATCAGAGTCAATCAGAAGAGCTCCGAGGACAGGATCACTCACATTCAGTCACACATAACAAATATTTTTGAATTTCCAACCCAGTTTCTTTTTAGGAACAATGCTTAGAGCCCTTAATCAGGCTTTTTAAAATCACATTTGTCTAATTTCATATTGCAGTGGTTTGACTCCATCCAGCAACCAAGCACCACACAGTTGCTCACTTACCCTCAGGTGGGATAGGGGAGAGAATGGGAAGGGTAAAAGTGAGCGAACTCGCAGGTTCAGATAAAAAGTTTAATACTTAAAAAGAAATAATATTGATAATTTAAAATTTGTAAGGAAAATAGAAAAAAAATAACACAGAGAGGAAAACAAAACCCAATACCTGAGCCTCCCTTCTTCCTTTCATTTCATCAGCTCTATGGGAATGCACAATATTCAAACAAATAAGACTGATACCATTGATCATAGTTATAAATGAAGGAGTGTCAGAATGACCAGCTAAACCGAATGCACAGTTGGCTCAGAAACCAACTCTCTTCTCAATGAATCAATGTTCAGCGCTGCAGAAAATCAGCCCTAGCTTTGCACAGTTGGTTTTGGGCTTCAATGAGCATGACATATCAATTTCTGTGATTTTCACTCAGATCTCATGTTCATCGTTAGTGTTTTTAAAGCTCCAGCATCACAGGAGTTATGAACAGAGCAGATTTTCAGCTTTTCTTCAAAAAAAAAAAGGTGGCAGGGAAGAAATTTCTAGCCTTACATCTGCAAAAATAAGGTAAAAAAATCTGACTTCTCTTGCTTAGAAAGAATTTAAAACCAAGCAACCATCAGCACTAGCTTATGAAGTGAAAATTTCAAGCCGATTTCATGTTATGGATGCCACAGCCCATGGCTCTGTTGTTTAGGGTTTGTCGCTCCAGTCACAAATCTCAGAATGGAGCTGATTCTGTTACTTTCAGACACATGCTTCATAAAAGTTTTAAACTCACCATCCAGAGTAATAGTAATCCACGTTCCTCCAGCAACACTGCCCTCTCGGGGCTTAATGAGCAATCCCGTGGCTGTCACTGCAAAAACAACCAAGTTACATGAGGCTGAAGTATAATGCAAACATCTAAAACATCTCATTCAGGATGAGACAAAGTGATCTGACAGCTGTCCTCCTGTGATCCCACCTTTCATCTCATTTCTCCTTCTCAGGCATTCAAGTTAGTAATATTGCTCGTTGTTTTTTCCCCCCAACCGTCTCCCCAGTGTAATAGTCCTGCTTCCCCTCAGGGTGGTTTTGATGCCTTCAGGGCTTGGTAAACCAAGCTACAGTCTGAGCCTCCTGTCTTCCTCGAGAATTGAAATAAAGACGATAAACCTCATGTTTATTCCCCCAGCTCTCAAAGAAATATGTTTGCTGACTGCTGTACACTCTCCCAAACTCAGGGCTGCCCACAAAATACATCCATTTCTGGCTCCAAGACAGCCTGTCTGGCTCTTTCTTGCCAAAGTCCTTAGGAAAGAAACACAGGCCTGGAAAGGAACTCTTGCTTGATGAAATTAAGTCACCTGTAACTTGCTACGCAATGCCTTTGTAAAGGCATCAAATGCTTAAGATAATTTAGGATTTATTCTGAGGACCCTCATCCTTTGAGGCTAAGAGATGACCCAGTGGCAGGCTGCTTTTTTTTTATAGTCAATGATCAAAATTTTCCTGAAGTCCTTTTACAGTGATATCCAGTTTCCTGTTTAGCATTTCCAGAGATTTCCAACTTCTTAGCTGCACTTGAGTGCAATCTCATCGAACACCAACATTGATTGCTGAAGCTAAATATTGGACACACTTACATCATGAACCCTTAGTATCAACATGCAAACAATGATATGACTGTCATCAAGTGAACAAAAACCAAGGGGCATGAGATGAACCCAGGTAGAACAGGGCAAACTGACAACGAATCCAGAAATCTCCACTGGCTATGGAAATAATGTCATGAAAAGTCACTGGTAAGGGTGGACAGTGTCCAGTATGCTGCAGTCAATATCTCATAATATTCGACACCTTTCAGAGATGCTTCTCCATGCCTCACTCACATTCAGCCTGTATCCAACCCCGTGGCACTGGATTTTGATGGTGTTGTATGACCATTGCAGTAGGAAACAACATCTATCACCCACCTGCAAAGAATAGCAGCTCAGCACTCACACAGGATGATCTCCGAGGGTTCATCTTGAACTTTGGATGGAGATTTCACAAGACACTGGCTCCAGGATCATGGCTTTGGACCTTACGACCTTCCCTACAATATTAAAATATACCTCATCTGTATTCCTTCTTCACACAGCAAATCTGCAGGAGTAATGGTCTGCGTTACAGCAGACAAGATGGACTGCAATGTGGAATCACAGAGAAAACACTGATTCACCTCTCACACAGCATAAAGGATCAATATATTGCAAGCCATACTCTCTTCCTCACACGCAACAGACCTTTATAGAGCACATGCCCCTCTGAGCAGTCCACTTTTCACCCAAACTCAGGATGAGCTTTCCCTCACTGGGGCCATGTTTCAGGAGACTGATTCTGGTTAAGCATTTGGCACAGGTGAACTGTTGAAAGCAATTACAGGATTTAGAGTCAGTGGCATTAAACTCTTCTAGCTCTGTGTTGCTTCATGCAAAATTGTTGCATTTATTACACTAAATTAAATAGTTTCATGGTCATTCTCTGGCTCCAAAGCCAAATGGAAGGACCTGACTATACTATTAAGCTCTCTAGCCTTACACAGCTAGCTCCAAACTGGGAACGGCCCATGCTGGCTCCTCAGGTGTGCCTAGGATTTTTTTGGAAGATCACTGGTAAACTTGATCATAACAGCTGTGAACTGTTCTAATAACTTTGAAAAATTAAACATTTGAGTCCTTGTAGACTAGGAAGTTCCTTGGTCTTACTTGGTATCATAGACAGACGTATGACACATTCCCTTTATAAAGTCCATGCCAGGAACTGTTCTAATATTTAAAAATATAGACCATCAACTTTTACTGCCTTCATCCTGGGTTTTGTACTAGTATGGAAACAACCATGGGTCAATTAATTTAGCCACATTTTTAAATGAGCAAGAACCTCAAATTCTCACCAGTGAGCGCAGAGATGGGGACATCTGCTTTTCGTGGAGGACTGTTCCCCTTACCTAGAACATATCTTGGTTTTTAAAACTCAGCTCAGACTGCAAAAGTCCCAGACAAAGACAAAACCACATGGCAAGAAGCTAATTTAGGATTTTGGATTGTTATGGTAGGACCTGAAGGGCAAAATTCACAATCACTGTATTTTCAGTAATTCTCAAAGGGAGAATCCATGTCCCCCTCGCAGAAGAGCAAAATGATGCAAAGGCAAACAGCCTTTCACATTCCT